CCCCCCTCACTGCATCACATTTTGGGATGGTGCCTGGGATCTAGAGAAGCAGGAGATGAGGAGACCCGAATGTCCTAGGCTTCATCTGAGGAAGACTCAGGGCTTTGAGCAGGCACTCTGAGCTGGCATTGTCCAAACGCAGTGTGCCTGGCCCCACCGCAGCCTCTCGTACCCCACACAGCTCTGGGAAGTCCCAGAGAGGGACCAACCATGTCACCACACTGAAGGTGCAAGAGAGATGGTCCGCTGAGGAGGAGCGGGTGGCAGGAGATGAGGGGACAGGTCTTGCCCACACGCAGGTGCCTGCCCGTGCATGGGTGTGTGCAAAAGTTAATTGCAAAACGTTCCGCTGCTTGAAAACTTCTGTGATGCTCGGTTTTCTGTTATTTCATCGGCCTCCAACTTGATGCTGTGTATAATTAAAGGCTGGAGTTATGAAGTGTGTGAGCTCCTTGGGGGATGCCCTGACAACACGCCGTTGTGTTTCACACTGCCTGGGCTCAGCCCCGTGAGCCGGAGGGCAGTGAGATGAGGAGCTGGAAATCTGCCACCCCTCAGAGGGGCTGAAATCCCTTAACGTCCAGCCAGCCTCACTGGCAGATTCAAAAGAGCCTAGCAAAAAGAGCTGAACTGATTTTTTCTCTTCAATACTAATTTTGTATTCATTGACTGGTCTTACTTTCTCAGAAGAGAGAGGTTTCCACCCAGAAAGGTGGCTTGCAACGAAGCGGTTTGAGGGGAGGAGGTGGTGCAGAGCGAGGGGGGCGAGGGGTGGGAAGCAGATCAAGGCGCTGCCAGGGAAACTTTTTTTGAAGCCGCTTGCAGTCGTGTTTGTTGGTTTAACCCCTGAGGATGTGGCCTGCGGTTGGTTTTGCTCATTCCCTGCTGACAGGGTGGGACCACGCCTGGTGCGTGGACCGGATGGGATGACCTGTAGAGAAGACCGTTGTGGCCTCCTGGCCCCAAAATCCATTAATCTTCAGATGGGAAGGTGGAAATAGCCCTGGCCTCGAGGTGACACAACTCATTTCAGTTTTAGCTTGAGGGCTAATCCCTTAAAACACTCCCAGACACAGAACGGTGTTCGCTGGTCCTGGAATGTCCTCCCTGGTAGAGGCAAACATAGAGAGGGTTAGAAAGGCTGCTCCATTGGCTCTGGAGCTCCTGGGCTGATAGCCTGAGCTTTCTGTGAGCCTCCTCTGTGGCTAGCACCATGCCATCACTGCTGGGACGGCCGCCAGCCCCGTCCACGTTGCTGCAGTCCGTCTTCATCCCGCACAAGCCAAACAGCGTGCGCTTGGGGGGATGATTTGTGGCGATCCGTGCATCGCGCCTGCTGGGCTCTGCTCTGCACCAAGCGAGGATGGAGACACCCAAGCAATGGGGCGTGAAACTACTGCGTCTTCATCTCCACCGTGCATCAGCTTCCAGAAGGAAAATGAGCTTTTTTTTTTTGCCCTGTCTGCTTTTCCCATTCACATCCCAGCCTCCTCAAATAACCAATGCTTTAAACACGTTTTGCAGCAGAGCAGGCTCAGTGCCGTGAAACTTTCTTTTACCTTTGAGTGCAACTTGGTCTCTGCTTTAGCCTTTGGGCTGGCTCCAGGGAGATCCCCAGGCTGCTCGGATCCCTGGCACCTGGCTGCTCCGTCCCTGCCTCAGAGCAGTGTCAGGGCTCCTCATCCATCCGGAGGAACATCACAGTGTTGTACCCACTGCCAGGCGTGTCGAACAGGGTCCCCTGGCACTGTGCTGGGGGTGTCCCAGCTTCTCCTCCTGCAGCGCCTTGGACAACAGCCTGCCCATCCAAGCTGCTTTCCGGCACTGCTGGTGAAGCCCACGGTTTGCTCAGCGCTGCAAAGCTGTGAGGTTGGCAGGGGGATGAGGGTAGGCATCTCTGATGCTGTTCGTGGCTTAACTTTGCCGTGGGCTAAAGTTTGGGGTGTGAGAGAATGTTCCCGTTGAAGCCCTGATAGGGTGAGCAGGCAGAAGTGCATCTTAACCAGGTTTTCTGCTGGAAAGCTCCAGAGGAGAACTCTTTAAGGTGATAGCTACTGGGCACTTAAAATTAATTTTTACAGTTCTTTATGCTATAATGACAATGCAAACAGTAATGCTGAAGGTGCTGGTGTTACCAGGGGCTCATTCAGGAGTGAGGCATCTGTGGTGCTAGGAGCCTGTACACGCTGCAGAAAAATGGTCACTGCCTCCATAAAATTAAAATAATCCATTCCTGTCAGGCAATACTCTGAATGGGGATTGGAGTAAGTCAGTGGCACAACCATGAATATTTTTCTCCATGTGTGTATTAGGTTTTTGGGGTTATTTATCTTCTCTCTGCTCCCGGTGGCACCTTACAAAGATACAACCATGCTGCCAGCTCTACCTTGGCACTGTCTCTGGAGGATCTCCAGCAGCCTGCTGTGTCTGTGCCCTCAAGATCTGGTGCTTAACATTTCATCCATCCTGGCTGCAGCAACCTGCCATCCCAGGCACAGTTCACACCCCGTGTCCCACAGCTCTGACGCTGCCTGGATCCAAAGCTCGGCTGCAGAGGAGCTCAAGCTGCCAGATGCTGCAGAGAAAGGTGCAGCAGTTTTGCAAAGCAAATAGAGCCAGCTGCAACCCATCTCAGGGCTGAAGTGCTCGCTCAAGATTTAAGGGTGAATTCAAGGTGTTGCTGAGGTCAGTAACTGTGATCAAGCACTAGGAAAACTCAGCAAGGCTCTGTGCTCTCCTCTGGGCTCTGTCCCTTCATTGCCCCCTTGATTCCCAGGTCTATGGGGCTGGCAGTGAGCTGTTCCCCGTGCAGGATGCTTTTAGCAACCAGCCCATTCTACCGTGATTCTGCAGGGGCTCATCCCTCTTTCCATGGGCATCTGCTCACTCTGACAGCTCACACACCCTACCTGTGTGCTAGGTGTCTGGCATTAGTTTCAGGCCATGTGCACGGTCATCCAGACTGTGAGGTGATAAAATAATCCCTGTAAAGGGTGGCTG